ATCATCATCATCATCATCTCCCTTGTCACCCTCGCTTCTTCTTCACCTCCTCCTCCTCCTCCTCCTCCTCTTCCAACTGCTCCCCATCATCGATTATCCTCCTCCTCCTGCTCCTCCCCCCCACCGCACCCTCATCCTCCCAAAGCGTAGGGGAGCCTCGCCCCTCCACAGGTCGCAGCGGTCAGGCTCACTCGAAAGCTGTCGTCGCGCGAGTTAGCACCGTGGTTGACGGCGACGTCACCTCGCCCTCCCCAGCTCCCCTTGCCTGCTCGGCGCCCTCCGACTCCTCATCGTTGTCCTCCTCCTCCTCCTCCTGCTCCTGCTCCTCCTCCTTCACATCCTCCTTCTCCTCCTCGTCCTCCTCCTCCTCCTCGTCCTCCTCCTCCTCCGCGAGAGAGAGAGAGAGAGAGAGAGAGAGAAAGAGAGAGAGAGAGACTAAAAGAGACAGAAATAGATATATATATATATAGAGAGAGAGAGAGGGAGAGGAAAAGAGACAGAGAGGGAGAGAAAGAGAGAGAGAGAGAGAGCGAGAGAAGAAGACAAAGAGGAAGAGAGAGAGAGAGAGAGACAGAGATCGCAACTATTCGGGCGGGATGTCCGTCCGGACTCGCGGGGTACTAGCGCGCGCTGCGCCCACCTCATGTGGGGGGCGGGGCCGCTTGTGCGAGCAGGGGTCTGGTGCGGTCTGTGTAAACCACGACTGGAAAACGAAAACGGGATGTGGTGAAAAAGGGCGAGACTCGCCCCTTCTGCACGCCCGTGAGCAGAGAGGCACCGGCTTTACACGCGCCTTGGCAGGCACGATCCGGCGCCTTGACAATGGCGGCACCACTTTGGGGCACCCCCGGCGGCGGCTCCGCGCTAGAGCTACGGAAAAGCTGCAAGCAGTTCGCGCAGCGCACTCAAAACAGTGCAAGGCAAGCGATGGTGTGCTATTGGTGAGTATCGAGGCACGCCTGGTGGCTCGCCTGGGGAGAGACCCCAGGGCGAGCAGGCGATCGGGCCTGACGAAGGCCGATCCAGGCTGTCTGTGCGTTTTTGAGACCTGTCAAAACGTGGCTCTGACTGTTCCTGGGTGCTGCGCAGCTTCTGACCAAGCCTGGTAACACTCGTGATGCTGGTAGTGCGGGCAGTCCCGCGGACGGGGTGGGCAGATTGACTGGAGGCCGTGAGGCGTTGCGCGGCACGCTTGTAATCAGTGGCCTGCACTGGAGTCAGTCGGATGCCTTCACCCTGGTAGGTGATGCTGGGGCCGTGAGGCCGTGGTGCCTTCACTCTGGTCTCAGTGGCTGGACTGTCTTGGCGTGAGCCGAAAGCGTTCTTTGGCTGCCTCATCCTCGCCTGGTGGCGGTCGGGCAGGCATCTCTGGCGTTAGCCTCGCTCGGTCGGCCTGGCGGAGCTCGTCGCGGTGAGGGAAAGGGAGTTCGGCACCGCTATCCAATCCATGGGGTTGTGGCGACGACACTGGCGATCCCTGGGGCCAGGTCCGCGACTCGTCACCAACGCTGCGCAGGTCCTCGCGCCGGTCGTGGACGCCTGGGGCGGGGGCTGGGTGGTCGCCCACCTCCAGATGCGCAGTCGCCACGTGCCTTCTAGGCGGCGGGGGGGGCGAGGTCAAAAGGGAGCGGTAGTTTGGACGCCCGAAATGGGTACATAAAGAATGGGTACAATGCCCAACAACAAATGTTGTCCCAAGCCAGCGGCCTTCTGTCTCGAGTGGACACAGGCCGCGGCGGCGTGGACAGCGAGTCCTGTTCAACATGAGCAGGAACTGCTGTTGGGCACTGTGCCCCTTCTTTCCGTACCCGTTTCGGGCGTCCAGAGGTCGGGGATGAGCCGAGTTCCGCGTGGTGGAACCCCGTGCAGTCTGGGGTATGATCGGCCTGACGTCTGGGGCGGGTTCCCAGCGGCTCCCCGCGTCCAGGGGGTCGCTGCGTGCCGCCCCGTCGCGCTCTCGCCGTGGGTGGTGCACGACGTGCCGCCCCGACGCACTGCTCAACTTGCCCGGCCGTCCCGCGCTCGTCTCGCTCGTGGGCGTGCGACTACTGTAGGGGGCCGCATGCGAACGCTACCCCTACCGCCCACGATTTCTGAGGGGGAGGGGGGGCTCACTTCGTTCGGGAGCTCCCGAGCGAAGTGAACCCCACCCTTCCCCTCAGAAATCGTAGGGGGTAGGGGTAGGTTTCGCATGCGGTCCCCTATACTGGTCGCGTAGGTGCGGCTGGCGGTCGCGCTGCACGCAGCGCTGGTCGTCGCAGTCGTGGGTGGGAGGCGTCTGGTGCCCGCGTGCGCAAGCCCGGGTCGGCTGACCAAGGACATCGTTGCACTGCTGGTCACACTCGTAAAAGTGAGGGTGTTGGTGCTGGCTCCCGTCGCTCTGTTCGACGCGGTGGTGCTCCGCCCCGTGGCGAGGTGCTGGTGGCCGAGGCGCTGGTGGCCGACGTGCTGCGAAGAGGCGTGGTGATTCTGGATCCCGCCGTAGTGCCCAACGTCATAGTACTCGGCTCCGTCGCGTTGTTCAGTGTCGAGGTACTGCTAGCAGACGTTCTGCTGAAGGACGTGATGTTCGATGCACCGCTCGTCTCGCTCGTCGGTGCGAGGCTGTTGGTGCTGGATCCCGTCGTGTTGCTCGACGACGTAATGGTTGATTTCGTGATGCTGCGTGGTGCCGCTGTGGTCCCAGACGTGCTGCTCGTAGGCGTGATGCACGTTGTCCTGCTCGTCTCACTCATCGACGTCGGACTGCTGCTGCTGAGCCCCGTCTTGATGCGCGGCGCAGTGATGCTTGGTCCCACCGTAGTTTTCGGGTGTCTGGGTGCTGGTCCCTGCCTTGTCACTGGGGAGCGCAGTGCTCTCTGCAATGCTCGCCCTCCTCGCAAGTGCGAGGCTGCTGGTGCTGGATCGTAACGTAATGCTCAGAGTCGTGGCGCTCAGCTCCGTCGCGTTGCGCAATGACGAGGCGCTGGCCACTTGGGTTCTGCTGCAAGCCGTGGTGTTCAAAACAGCTCTCGTCTCGCTGGTAGGTGTGAGGCTGCTGATGCAGTATCCTGTGCCTGTGCACCTCGCGATGTTGCTTGCTTCCGTCGCGCCGCCCTGCGGCCTGGAGCTGGTCTCAGACGTTCTGCTCCAAGACATGGTGCTCGTGTCACTGCTCGTCCCGCTCGTAGTGGTGGGGGTGCCGGTGCTGGGTCCAGTCGAACTGCTCGACGTGTGGCGCTCCGCTCCGTCGCATTGCACGGTGCCGAAGCGGTTCCAGACGTGCTGCTCGAACGCGATATGTTCGTGGCAGTACTCGTCTCACTCTAAGACGCAAGGCTGCTGATGCTGGGCCCGTCATGGTGATCCACGTCGGGATGCTTGGTCTCGCCGCGCTGCTCAGAGTCGAGATGCTGGTCCCTGGCGCGCTGCTGACAGATGTGGCGATCGCTGTACTGGCCGTCTCCCTCGTAGGTGTGAGGTTCTTGGCGCGGGATCCCGTCGTGCTGCGCAGCTCGTGGTGCTCCGCTCTGTCGCGTTTCTCGGTGTCGAAGTGGGCGTGGTGTTCCGTGCGCTGCTCGTCCCACTCGGTGTTGGGCTGCTGATGCTCGATCCCGTTAGCACTGCGCGTCGTGGTGGTTCTCGACTCCCTCGTGCTGCGCCGTGTCCCAATGCTCGTCGCGTGGGTGCTGCCGGTGGACGTGCTGCTCGTGGCACTGCTCATCGCAGTCGGGGGTGTGAAGCTGCTGGTGCCTGTGTGCGCGAGCCCCGGTGGGCTGACCATGGACCTTCACGCGCTGCTCGTCACGCTCATGAACGCGAGGGCGTGGGCGCTGGCACCCGACATGCTGTTCGATGCTGTTATGCCCCACCCTCTCGCGCCACTCAGCGTCGAGGCGCCAGGGACAGACGTGCTGTTGCAAGACGTGGCGATGCTGAGTCCCGCTAATTATGCTACCCAACGTCGCGGAGCTCGACTCCGTCGCGTTGCGCAGAGCCGAGGTGCTGCTCGCAGGGGTGAGGCTGTTGGAGCTCTGTTCCGTCGTACTCGGCGTCGTGTTGCTCGGCTGCGTCGCACTACGCGGTGTCGCGATGGTCCTGGGCGTGGTGCTCCAAACCTGGATGATCGCTGCCCTGCTCGTCCCACTCGTGGATGTCCGGTTGCTGGAGCTGGGCCCCGTCTTGATGCGCAAGGCCGTGAGGCCTGATGCCGTCGTGCTGCTCAGAGCCGAGGCGGTGGTCCCGACTTGCTGCTCAAAGTCGTGGTGCTCGCCGCCCTGCCTCTTTCAATCGCAGACGTGAGGCTGCTGGTGCTGGGTCCCGTCGTGCTGTCCAACGCCGTGGTGCTCATCTCCGCTGCGTTCCCAGCGTCCAAGCGCTGGCATCAGCCGTGCTGCTGAAGGACGGGTTGTTAGCTGGACTGTTCGTCTCACTCGTGAGCGTGAGTCTGTTAGGCCTGACGCCCGTCGTGCTGCTCGAAGTCGTGGTGCTCGATTGCGTCGTGCTGCTCGGTGTCGCGATGGTCGCATATGTGCCGCTCGGGGACATGGTGGTCATTGCGCTGCTAGTCTCACTCTTGGGAGTGCGGCTATTGGTGCTGGAACTCGTTTCGGTGCGCAACGTCGTGGTGCTTGATCCCGTCGTATTGTACAGTGCCGTTGTGGTCCCTGACATGTTGCTCGAAGGCGTGGTGCTCGTTGCGCTGCTCGTCTCCCTTGAGTCTGTCGTGCTGGGCAGTGTCAGAAAACTGGTACTGTGCGTGCTGCGCGCCGCCTTGGTGCTCGTTGCACTGCTCGTCACAGTCGCGGGCGCGAGCCGAGAGCTGGCCGCGACCGCGAGGGCGAGGGCGGGGGCGAGGAGGACGAGGCGTAGGCGCCAGTAAGCGCCCGAGGGGAGCTTGTGCCGATATGTGCCTGAGCGGAATTTGATGCTGTTAAGGCGCCCCCTCTCTCCCCAGGTGTACGTGGGCCGTGTCTGTGCCGCAGTCGCTGGTGCGACGGATGGCATTGGGGGGTGCGAGCTCAGGCCCTGGCGCAGTCTTCTGCATGTGTGCAGGCGGGCTTGGCGCCTTTGCCGTAGATCTCGCCGTCGACAAGTCCGACGTCTCTGCTGACCTGGGCCCTGACGTTGGCGCATTGCTGCCCCTCGCTGGACGCTGCGGGGCGCGAGGGATCAAGCGTGTCGCGGACAGAACGGCAGTGGTGCCACTGGCCTGCAGGAGCACCCAGCGCTGGTTCTCATCCCCCGTGCGGCCAGTGACGGCGCCGTGTTGGCCCGTTGTGCAGTTCTTGACCTGGCCGAAGCCCTGCGAATTATGGGAAACGCGATTCTCCTCAAAAACAACAGTCAATGAGCCACAATTGCGTTTCCCATAATTTCTAATGATGGGAAGCGCAATCCCGGACCACTGCCGCTGGTGACCGTCACCTCGGTGATTTCCTGGGTGGGCGGAGGCCCAGGTGGCGGGGCGAGGTCTGTGGTGTCGGACGGCGCTTCGGCCCTGGTGGGCTTTGCGTTTTCCCTAATGGGCCCAGGCTCAGTCCCGAGATCAAGCAACCACGCCCTCACGCTGCCTGGCGCTCTGTCCGGCGGGTGCACCTCAACGCAGGGATCCCTTGCGTCGTCCGACTCGGCAGCTCGCGTGAATGCAGTCGTGGGAGCCAGTGACGTGGAAGGTGGTGCTGGCAATGGCGTTTGCCGTGCCGTGCGTGTCACTGGCGCCTCGCTTGGAGTCGCCCTGGGCCCCGCCCAGGTGGGTGTGCCCAGAAGGCCTGGCCGTGGCTGCAGCGGGTGAGTCCCAAGGTTCTCAGGTGGCGGCTGCCCCCTCCGAGGAGGCCGTTGGGAAGTGGCGGCAAAATCCCAAGCATCCGCGCTTAGTGCTTTGGCGCTGGTAGCTCTTGACGGGAAGAGGCCCGCTCCCGACCCGCCGACCAAAAATGTTTTGGCGCTGGTGGGGCCTTGGCGGATGCCACTGGTGATGGTGCGTGGAATCCCTGGATCGGTCCTGTGAAACGGCGGCGCGATCGGGACGTCCTCATTTGGGTGCGTCGGGGCGTCGCGGCTGTTGGAGAGGGGCAGTGAAGTTGCTCTGGTGGGCGGGCGTCGGCCGCGGTCGCTGAATCACGGCTGGTGCCCGTTTTGTGCTTCAGGAAGTGGTGCCGCTTGGTGTAGCTGCTCATGTTCTGCCCGCGCGGCTTCACCAGCTCGCCCCGGAGCTTGCGCTGGTCGGAGCGGTGTTGATGATAGATGTTGTCAGAATCGGCTTGGTGCTTGCGAGCACGGTCGTTGAAAGCAGCGACTGCTCGGTCGACGCCACCGCTGTTCTGGAGCACGGCGCCGCAAGCTTCCTGTCGGCTGAGGTTGGCGTCCTGCCGTTCCGTTGAGGTTGCCTCTGGGCGGCCTCTGCCTGGTGGCTTGGGCTGCGGAAGCGCACGGCGAGGGCTTCTTGGAGCAATTGCGGCCCGCGCCCGGAGATCTGTGAGAGGATGTGGCGCGAATCAGCCCTGCAGTGAGGGCCGCAGGTCCAGTATCGCCGTGCTAACTATGGAATGCTGGGGGCTTCGTGTCTTGGCTGCGCCCCGGATCTGGAGACCCTCGAGCCGAAACTGGGGATACACACATATATATATACATATATATATATATATATATATAGAGGGAACGAGAGAGATAGAGAGAGAGAGAGAGATAGAGAAAGAGCGCGAGGGAGAGAGAACAAGAGAGAGAGAGAGAGAGAGAACGAGAGAGATGAGGCAGATCCGTCACCAAGCCGTCAGCTCGTAGTGCCGTGCCCCAGGGCTCATACAACTGTGTGTGCTTGCGGGAATGCACGATCATTCACTGCCCTCGTCACTTTCCTGGCATTCTCGGGCGTTCCCAGGACACGTCGTGTGAGCCTTCCGGAAGCTGCACCCACCCAGGGCGACCCTACGATCCTCCAGGAGTCTCCCAAGATGCGCCCAAAAAGCACTTGGGGCCACCCTAGGAAGTTCCAAGGGGTCCTAAGGCCTAGGTGGCGCCGAGAGGCTCGCAATAATCTCCAAGGGAGGCTCCAAGACGCGCCAAGAAAGGCCTCACACAGCCAACATTGTCACAACAGGCCAAATCGTGCAATATGTTTCGCCTGTCCGACTCCTCAGCTCAACACGGCTTCAAGATGGCTTCAGAGAGCTCCAAGACTGCCCAAGAGGGCTCCAACAAAAACCACCTGAAACGGCTCAAGAGGTCTCCCGAGAAGCTCCACGGACGGCTCAAGACAGTCTTTGCGGGGAGCCCGAGACAGCCCCAAAGGGGCTCCGAGACTACCCAAGGCGGCGCCAAGACAGCCCAAGAGAGGTTGAAAAAGGCCTCCATACTTCTCGACTTCTCAAAACAGACAAAAATACCCCGAACGTCACCGAGGTCTTGCCACAAGCACCACGACGTTCCAACAACGTCCCAAGCAACACATTCCGAGACTGCTCAATCCAACCTCCAATATTCCAACCAACCTCCGACCTTCCATCTTCGAACCCTCTAACCTCATTGGGCCTCGAAGCGTATAACGCAAAGTTCTGGAACATGGAGAAATCAGAGCGAAACCAAGGACACACCAAGATGCTCCCTGCGCCCAGAGAAAGGAACCCAAGATGTACCTCAGGAGTGCCCAAGAGGCCTCTAACAGCCCTCTAGTCCGCGAGCCAAACACAGTGGTGTGATAGGCCTCGAATCACTATATCCTCCGCTCCATCTCGCCTTGCAGAGGGGGTGCTTGGCGCGGCCACCCAGCATCCAATGCAAACACCAGAAGCAGGACTTCATGCCTTGAGATGTCGTCTTCAAGACCGCCAGGATGGCCCCAAAACGCCTCCAAGGCGGCCCAAGATGGGCCCCAAATGGTCCCCAAGACGCTCCGAGGACCTCGCCCCTCGCAGGCCGAACTGATGGATCACCGCCCGCGGTTTTTCAACAAATTGCATAGCCTCGCCTTTTCGGGCTTCCGACAACCGTTCAGGGTCCCAGTGGGATGTCGCCAAGACGGCCTCGAAAACCTCCACACGACGACCCTAAAGCGTGCGAGGAGTGCCCCAAGACTGCCCAATGAGGTCCCCCAAGCAACCTCTGAAGGCCAAGAGGCCCGTCAGAGGCCCCCGGCGAGGGCCTTCTTTAGCCCCCCCCCCAGAAGATCCCCCTGGAGAACCTCGCCGTGACGCCGCGCACGCTCGTTTTACACATGCGACAACTTCAGGGATGGATAGGGCGGCGGGGCGGTCTTCAAAATGATGCTCTCGCCGTAGCGCCGCGCGTATGTGCTTATCAAGATTCCGCAGCACTTGGAAAGATGGAGGGCGGCTCCGCCTCAAAACGGGGAGCTCGCCGTAGCGCCGCGTGCATAGGTGGTAGCGGTTCGCAAGAGTTAGGAAGATCGAGGAGGGACATTTCTAGATTGGCTCTCGCCTTAGCACCGTGAGCACTCGTCTTAACAGGTTGCAGCAAGTACGCGGATGGAAGACGGCTCCTTCTCAGTGCAGAATTCTTGCCGTAGCGCCGCGCATATTCGTTTAAAAACTGGCAACAGTTACAAGGATGGTGCTGTTGGTTTTCAAGATTGGACTCTCGCCTGAGCGCCAACCTTATTCGTCTTAAGAACTCGCAGCGCTAATAAGAATGCAAGGGGAGGGTCTTCACAACGGGACTCTCGCCAAAGCTCTGCGCACATTCGTCTTAAACGCTTGTGGCAATTTCACGGGTGGAGGGCGACTCGTTTTCCCAACCGGGGTCCTCGCCTTAGCGCCGCGCGCGCTCGTTTCAAGCATGCGAGAACTGCACGGATGGATGGGGACGGTTTGCAAAATGAGGCTCTCGCCTTCGCGCCTCGCGCATTTGCGTCGCAATATTTTACAGCACTTAAAAAATGGAAGGCGGCTCCGTTTTAACATGGGGAGCTCGCCTTGGCGCCGCGCGCATTAGTTGTAACGGTTCGCAGCAGTTAGAAGGATGGAGTGAAACGTTTCTTAATTGGGCTCTGGCCTTAGAGCGGCGAACATTCGTTTCAACAGTTTGTAGAACTACAAGGATGGAGGGCGACTCCTTTTCAACATAGAACTTTCGCCTTCGCGCCGTACACATCTTCTTTTTGAGCGCTTGCATGAACCGCAAGGACGGAGAACCGTTCCTGTTCAACATGTGGTTTTTGCCGGAGTTCCATCAGCCAAACGACCAGAAGGTTGAACCTATGTGCCCATCGGTTAGAAGAAGTAGGTAGAGACATGATATAGGACTGCGTTGAAAGAAGATTGGGTGTCCGCCCGCCCCCTGAAGAGGACCGAAAACGGTGAAGCCACTCGATCATTGAAGTAGGAAGGTGCTTACAATAAATTGGAATCGGGAGCTCCAAAAATACGTACTTTCAACGACTCATGGGAACGGATGTATGGCGGTTCCTTTCCACATTGGGGCTCTCGCATTTGACGTCCACACATTTGGCAAGCAGATATGTTCAGATGTGCAGTGCAAGGTTCGGGGCGGTTCCTCATCACATCGGGGATCTCGCTGGACATCCTGTTAACCTTTTAAGGTCCTGGCTTTTCGTGTGTCTTATAGCACGCTGGAAAGATGCAAAGCCAGTCCATTTCAAAACGAGGCTCTCGTCTGAATGGGATGCACATACTAGTGCGCTCGTCTTTCAAGGGGACGTTTCTTGCGGTGGACAGAACAACTTGTGTAAGGGCGAGGATGGAGGCTGGGGACGGGAGGGAACAATTGCAGCATTGTTGTTACTTTCTGTGCTTACTCAAGTCCTCCTCCTCCTCCTCCTCCTCCTCCTCCTTCTGGTCCTCCCTCACGGGTTTCCGCAAATGCTGAGGACCACATGATCGCATAATTTGGCCAGACTTTGGCCCAAGGGTTAGCACACACATATAAAACTAGACACACACATATGTATGTACATATATATATAAACATATATATATAGATGTATATGTATACACGTATACACACGCATCCGCCACCATGCCTTCGGCACGTAGTGGAAGGCCCCACGGCTCATGCAGCTCTGCGAGGTAGAGGGCTTGTGGTTCCTGAGGGTTCTGAAGTGTTCTTAAGGGCCCGGGCCTTCAGTTTCCCAGGCAGTCCCGGGCCCTGCCAGGGTGTGTCGCCTGAGATTTTGGGACGCCACGAGAGTTCCACGACGGGCCAAGAGGACCCTAAGAGGCTTCGAAGACGGTAGAAGAGGGCCCCGGCTCGTCATACGATCGGACCAAGACGCCGAAGATGCCCCCAATACGCCCCAGGAGGCTTCCAAGAGGCCTCCCAAGATGCAAACATTTTGACGATGTTGGCGTTCTCGCCCTTTCGGCTTCCCGACGTTCCAGGACGGTCCAAGAAGCTCCCAAGATCGCCCCAAGACGGCCCAAGCAGCCTCCAGCAGGGCAAGAGGGTCCCACAACGGCCCAAGATGCCCCCCAAGCTTCCCAAGGGGCACCCAAGACGGTCCCAGAAACCCCCAAGGCGGCTCCAAGAGGGGCCCCGACGGGGGACCCGAATGGACATTTCGAGCTCTCGGCCCTGGGAGGCCACCAGGAAGTCCTGAGAGGCCCCCAAGAAGCTCTGAGGCCCCCCAGATGCTCACAAGAAGCCCCCAAAACTGCCCCCAAGAGAGCCCCGAGAGCGCTCCCAAGACACTCCAAGAAGCATCCCTGAGGACTGTGACCTGCAAGCCATGCATGGTGGCGGGATAAACCGACGGCCATACTGTGTGTATGTGTTCACGAGCATACACACATACAAGTTGTTATTATTATGATTGTTGTTGTTCTTATTATTATTATTAATAATAATATTATTATTATTGTTACTATTACTATTATTACTATTATTATTAATACTATTATTATTATTATTATTACTATCATTATTATTATTATTACTATTATTATATATATAAATTTATAAGTGTATATATATATATATATATAGAGGGAGCGAGAGAGAAAGAGAGAGAGAGAGAGATAACAACAATAAAGGAATCTAGAGAGAGAGAGAGAGAGAGAGAGAGACTGAGAGAGAGAGACTGAGAGAGATATGTGTACGCACATGCGTTTTTATAGACGTAACAAACATGGAGAGAATCGAGAGAGAGAGAGAGAGAGAGAGAGAGAGAGCGAGAGAGAGAGAGAGAGAGAGAAAGAGAAAGAAAGAGAGAGGACAGACGCTGTCACCTGATCATCCCAAGGCGGCAGGGAGTTCGCGCGAACCGGCGGACGCCTCCGGCTGGGCGAGAAAGACATTCTTCTCCGAACGATGGATTGGAACTTCGCCCTGGCAGGCATTGGGCCGAAGCTGCCGCTCCTGCTGCGCAGCATGGCGGCATCCGGCGCCACGCGCCCATCGTTGACGAACAGCACACGGCTGGTGTCCCAGTCGATGTTCTTGCCGTTGTTCCGCATCAGGTTGACCTGGTGCACGTGGGCCTCCTTCGTGGACGTCCTTCGGGTCGGGCGAAAGGGGGGGATAGCAAAGGGGGGGTTGAGAATCAGCTCACGTAGCTGATCTTCCCGGCGCCTCCCGGCGCCGGAGGCGGCTATGTATCGAGGAATGGGCCCCTCGGTGAGGCCGAAACCAGCCGCATGCAGCAAATTTTGCAACCCCCCCTTTCCCAATCCCCCCCTTTCGCCCGGCCCGAGTCCTGTGCAGGACCCAGACGTCCCCCGGCTGCGAGGGCTGCCGGATGGCCGACACCTGCAGCTCCTCGGGAAGAAGAAACATAAGCATAAACATACACTTTTGGCGCCCCGCGCGGATTTCTTGGATCCGCGCTGGAACTCCCTCCCTGGCGCGCGGAGCGCGCCAGGGGCGGCGCCGGAGGCGCCGCCGGGGGGCCCCAGGCCCTAGGCGCCGACACAAGAAATCCGCGCGGAGCGCCAAAAGTCGATGCTCATGGCGTTCTTTCTCCTTCCGTCCTTCAGGGCGTCGATGCGCACGAGGACCGTCTCGCTGGCCTTGTCCTTCCGCAGGGGGAAGAGCCCGCGGGCCTGCCGGAGGATGTCGGCCAGCAGCACCAGGGCGCCGCACGGGTCGGCGGCCCCCGCCTTCTGCATCAGGGCGGGCGCGTAGTAGACCAGGATGGCGGGCCCCCCCTCGGAGCTCGGGCAGAGGGCCTGGGGGCAGGGCTGGAGCTAGCCGCTGCTTTGTCGTTCGGTTTTCGCTTTCTGTTTTTTCTCGTCTCGCTCTGCCTGCCTTCCTGTGTGCCTCCCTGCGGAGACGAAGCACAAGGCACAGCCGAAGTCCAGCAAAACAGCGTTTGTGAGCATCGTTTATCCGATCCCTATCCCCAGCGGCGTGGCGTGGGCCCCACTGGCCGACTTCTCCCCCGAGATGGGGATGTAGGCCGTATCCTTCGGGTTTGGAGGGGTGTATCCCCAACTGGGGGGGTAATTTGGTGGCGGTCTCGAAGGGGATGGGGATGGGGATGGGGATTGGTTAAACGATACTGAGGGGGGGGGGGCCCTGAGCATCGGCGGTGCGTCGTCGCCGATGGACCAGCGAGGATGCCGACGACGGCGAAACCGGACGCTCCTGGGCGGGGCTAGGGAGGAGGAGGAGCAGGAGGGGAGGAGGAGGAGGAGGAGGAGGAGGAGGAGGAGGAGGAGGAGGAGGAGGAGGAGGAGGAGGAGGAGGAGGAGGAGGAGGAGGAGGGAGGAGGAGGAGGAGGAGGAGGAGGGAGGAGGATGGGGATGGGGATCGGTAAAACGATTCCGAGTTTAGGTCCAGCCCTGCCTGGGAGGGCTCGCGCCGGTAGCTCTGCCCGCTGCAGCCCGAGACCGCGAGCTCCACCTCGAGCTGCTCCCGGTCCTTGGCTGGGCTGCTCGTGCGCAGCTCCGGCCGGTCTCGCCCTCGCGCCTCCCTCCTGCCCTCTACGGCGCCCTCCTCCCTGCTCCCTTCTCCCGCCTGGGCCCCCCCTCCTCCTCCTCCTCCTCCTCCCCTCTCCTCCTCCTCCTCCTCCTCCTCCCTCCTCCTCCTCCTCTCCTCCTCCTCCTCCTCACCTCCTCTTCCTCCTCCTCCTCCTCCTCCTCCTCCTCCTCTCCTCCTCCTTCTCCTGCTCGTCTTTTCTCCATCCCTCTTCCTTATGAGTATCTCCTCCTCGCCGCACCACCAAGCATGCTGGTAGAGCGGGGTGGGCGTTTCACCTCATATTTCCTCACAATTTATGGCCCTGAGGCTTGGGACGTCCAGCAGTTCCACCGATGGAAGGCGACACTTCTTTTAATCAGCCATAGCTTTTGCACCGCACAAGTTCGTCCTCACAGGTTCTCATCGTTCCACGGATGGCGGCTGGATTTAAAATGTGACTCTTCCCCTAGCGCGCCGCATACTGGTCTCAAACGCTCCACACAGTTGCACCCGTTGAAAACAGTTCTTTTGTGGCAGAGCGCTCTCCTTTGAGACTTCCGCAATCCATGAGCAGAAACGAGTATATTGCCAGCCGCGATGCGAACTGGATTGTGCAGCTCGTGCCGTAGCGCAGACAGCATCAACCACAAGGACGGATAATATCTTCTCGCGTGAGAGCACCCGTCATTGGTCACTGGAGTTGTACAAACTAGCAGCAGTGGCATGGACGGAAAGCGATTCCCTGCCATCGCGGGGTTCTTGCTGGCCATCTCCTCCCAGTCTGTGAGAACTCTTTGACATTCGCAGGATGACGGGCGACTCCGTTTTAAAACTTGCCTGACTGGCGGGTCCGCACGGCGCTCGTCTTGCAATGGGGGCGACACGCCAGTGGTGAGGCGCAACGCCAGAGGTCCCGAGCGACTGACTCATGGGGAGGGGTCCTCAGCATCGCTGACGCTAGACGAGCGCGTTCCACCACTCGCGAAGTAACTACTCGCAAATGGCCTGGATCCGCCGCGGGGGATCTACGATAAATTACATCGAAGCAGGCATGTGTTTTTCGTGCGTTTGCGAGTAGGCTCTCTGCGAGTAGTGGAACGCGCTCGGTAAGACGCATCCTGCGCTGACTCTGATCCTCCTCCTCCTCCTCCTCACCTTCCCCGTCTCCCTCATCGTCCTCCACCTCCCCCCTCTACCCAGCCATGCCGATCAACCACAGCATACTCGTCGTAGTCGTCGTCGTCGTCGTTGTCCTCCTCTCCTCCTCCTCCTCCTCCTCCTCCTCCTCCTCCTCCTCCTCCTCCTCCTCCTCACCGTCCTCCTCTCCCTCTTCCTCCTCTTGCTCGCTCCCCCCAATCACCCTCGTCCATCCTTTCCCTGATTAAATATCCCCTCCCTGTCGCACTCCGATGCGTGTCGGTAGGGCGGGCCCGGCGTTTCGCCTGAGACTTGCTCACCATTTTTATGGTCCTCAAGCTTGGAACCTGTTTTATGGATGGAGGGCGGATCGTTTTCAAAATGTGACTCTCGCCTCAGCGCCGCGCGCATGAGAGATGACAGCAATTTCAAGGATTCTCACGGTTGATGTCCCCAAAAATGGATTTCTGGCGCGATGCAGGTCTGCCAGTGCGCAGCAATTACGTTTGTTCGCGGTGTGGTGATCCCAGGAATAGCGTTCTGGCGCGATTCAGGATTGTCAGGACGCAACAAGAACGTTGACTCGCGGCGGGGAAGTCCAGGAATATTGTTCCCTGACGGTGCAAGACTTTCAAACGATTGTCTTCCAACGGGGCACTTCCCCCCATGGAGGTGAGTCCATGTAGGGACCCATGAAGGGTAAACTCAGAGGGAGGGTTTATTGCAATATCGTTGCTGAGTCTTGGGTTAGCACTGGACCTCCTCCTCCTCCTGCTGCTGCTGCTGCCGATGGCATGAGGCCCTCACGGGTGCTGCCAGTCGTCCCCGCCTGCGTGTGCCGAAACGCACAGCAGGCGGAGACCATTCCGAAAATGGGCCGATCACCGTTGAAGGGGCCGGCGAGGGCAGAGGCGGGAGAGACGGAGGGTGGGCCCGAAAGAAGAAGGCGATGGGGCCTCCTCCTCCTCCTCCTCCTCCTCTTCCTCCTCCTCCTCCTCTTCGTGGTCCTCC